TCAGATAAACACATTTTGATAACTTGTCCGGCTCCGGAAGCTCAGGGGTTTTAGGCGTTTAATTAAGGTCAGATGATCATTTTTTGTCTCGCCTGCGTAGCAAAAAGCGAGACATAGGCGCCGCTTTTCCGGTGACGGCGACGGCGACGGCGACGGCGTCAACATCAAAAACTTAACCTAAGGTTAAGTTTTTGAATTTTTGGTATAATTTTTAAAGTATAAGTTCTTAGTCAATGAAACTTTGACTATAGGGTAATCAAGTATCCCCAATCATGTGAGTAGAATTTCAGATCACAAAGTCAAGGTCAAAGGTCATTTCAGGTCAACAGACTTGGACTATGTTGTAGCATCATCATCGAAAACTTAACCTAAGGTTAAGTTTTTTAATTTTTGATATAATTTTGAAAGTATAAGTTCTTAGTCAATGAAACTTAGAGGCTGTTCACACCGGCAGAGATAGCGCGGTCTAGCGCGCGCTCTATCGCGCGCTCTATCGCGCGCTAGGCCGCGCTATCTCTCGTGGACCACCCCCAAGAGGTGCTCCAGTACTGGCACGCCGTTTTGGCTCGCCGTGGCTCGCTGTTGGGCGGACCGAAACGACGTTGTACCTTCCACACCGCAGAGATAGCGCGCGCTAGACCGCGCTATCTCTGCCGGTGTGAACAGCCTCTTAGACTATAGGGTTATCAAGTATCCCCAATCATGTGAGTAGAATTTCAGATCACAAAGTCAAGGTCAAAGGTCATTTCAGGTCAACAGACTTGGACTATGTTGTAGCATCATCATCGAAAACTTAACCTAAGGTTAAGTTTTTTAATTTTTGATATAATTTTGAAAGTATAAGTTCTTAGTCAATGAAACTTAGACTATAGGGTTATCAAGTCTCCCCAATTATGTGAGTAGAATTTCAGGTCACTAAGTTAAGGTCAAAGGCCATTTAAGGTCAACAAACTTAGACTTTTTTGTGGCATCAACATTAAGATTTTCAAAATCTTCTTCTTCGTTATTTTTCAACCGATTTTGATTCTGATTGTTTCATATGATAGGGCTAGGAGGGGATTTAAAATTTCTACACAGAATCGTGAAATTCATTATCTATGCTAATTTATGCAAATTTATTCGAAATCACAAAAAAGGCTTCTTCTCCTTCATTTCTCGACCGATTTTGATTTGGTTTGCTTTATATCGTAGAGCTAACTTTGGTACACTAAACTTCTACACAGAATTTTGTTCTCCATTAATTAATTATGGTAATTTATGCAAATTTATTCCAAAAATAACAAAAATTGCTTTTTTTTTTCCTCATTTCTTGACCGATTTTGCCTTATCTGGTAGAGCTAAATTTGGAACAATAAACTTCTACACAGAATTGTGAGATTTTGCTCCATTGATTATTTATGGTACTTTATGCAAATGAAATGAAATTATGTACCTTCCAGGGCATCAAATTTCTATTTTTTGACCAGTTCAAAAGTGTACCACATAAAATTTACGATATTTGTTGTTGTGAGATGCGGATGAGCGCTACGTCATTGACGTTCTGGTTTATCATATTGAATTGCATTATGCAGGCGAGACCGCCGAGAGCGTTTCCCTTGTTTTTAATACCTATTATTTTGCGACACTGGCAGGTCACTATTTGGCGTGGGGTCCAGGGGGCGGATCCCCCAAAAGCGGGGTTTCAGGCATTAAATTACCGTCAGATGAGCATCTAAGGGCCTGCCGTAGCGCCCTAGGTGGAATCCAGGGGGCAGAGCCCCGGAAGCTTAAGGGTTTTAGGCATTTAATCACGGTCAGATGAGCATATTTTGATGACTCATTTTTTAACACTGGCAGTTAACTATTCGTTCTTTCTTGCGCTCATTCTATTTTTTTCTCTTTAATATACTTTTTCAAATAAAGTGGGGGGGGGGGAGGGAGCTCGAGGCTCCCGATCCCTGCCGTACCTAGGGCCCTGACATGTAGGAATCTCAAGAATCATATTTCGTGCCTGGCTGTAAATTTAGGAATTTGTCATTTTCCAACAAACACATATACAAACGTATAATTTACTAAAAAGTGAGGACAAATCTCGGAAATTTGTAATCCACCGTTGTGGAATTATAAATAAACCACGTTTGAATTTGATTTCCCCAAAGCCCCCCCCCCCCCATTAGTACGCCAGTATCTCCTCTTTTCCTTTTTTCTTTCCCTTTCCTTCCTTCTCTCTTATTTTTTTGATTGGAAGGGGGGGGGGGGTCAACAGCCTGGGAGGAAAGGCCCTTTCGGTCCCCCCGATCTCCTTCTTCCCCCTTTTCTTTTATTCTTCTTCTTCTTCTTCTTTCTTTCCCTTTCTCTCCTCTTTCTCTTCCCTTCTTTTCCTTTCTTCTCTCTCTTTTTTTTTTTTTGCGGGGGGGGGGGGGCCAAGGCCCGCTCGGCCCCCCCTGGATCCGCGCCTGCATGTCATATCTGAACAAATTTGAAGCCGAAAGGGCAGTATAGTGTACTTTCGTTTTGGGCGACGACGGAGCCTGCGACGGTAAAGCTATAGGTCCCGTTGCGCATGCTCGTAACTAGAGGTTCGTCGGTCTAGAATCTACGACGGTTTTCGGGGTGATTTACTGTCACCCCAAAAACGCGACGACGTATTGCCAAATTTGCTGTAGAGGCCATCCCGGGGCCATATACGAATGACTTTCTCGCAGGCAAATTTGATTTTTGACCAAGATTACAGAGCTTTAGCTATGCATTCCGTAAGTTTATATCTAGGCCTATTTAAATGTATGCTGATACATATTATATTACAAATTCATGCAACCAAAATGGCCCATGCAATTACTAAAGTCGATTCGACAACTTACTAATGGTCGTTATTTTCCCACTTAAAGACATTTTCAAGCCCTTCCGTTTTGAGGGAAGTTCTAAAAAAGTATTATTTCAAATTCTGCCCATTCCTTTGACAAGACCAACGTTTTTCGTTTTTTTTTTTATTAATCGTTAACCCGTTCTCACAATTAGACCTTATATCCTACTTCAACTTGTGCACTTTCTCTCGACAGCTTTAATCGTTTGCTAATATCAATGCAACTCGGGGTAATTTTGCAGACAAAAAAATAGTGTGAGTACGGAGTGTGATTATAGTGGCACCAACCACTTGACTGTTTCGTCAAACTTACATGAAATTAATGAATTCGGTTTGTCAACTCGCCAAACTCTTTAAAGCGCAACTTCAAAACCAAGTGAGCATAGAGGCCACTGATGATTATTTGACAAAACTTCGATGTTATAAAGGGTCGATAGAAATAGTTATCTATTTACTTTATACTTATTCAACATAGTTAAATTAGTTATTACATATTTAATAAACGAAAATTGTCTCAATTGTAAAGGAATTATTTATATGATTATACAGTGTACACAATAAGCCAAAATTATTGCAAACTAGTTTTATCAAGGTTTGTCCGGGATTCTTCAAAGAGCAGTAGCTGCTATTGTAGACCATCTTCTGGGCGGCCCAGACCGGTAATATATTCATGATTCTAACCACACACCTTTCTGGTTTGCCTATTTTTTAAACATTTTTTTTTTAGACTTACACGTCCCGACTTTTTGAATAACCCGATTCTTCTACACATCTCCAGCAAGGGTGTTGGAGAGACCAACTTTAAAGGTAAAGACCAGTTTTGGAAACGCCCCCTGTCCCCCTCTCAAAAATGAAAAAGGAAGCTCTTATTACCAATAATGTGACAGAATATGTTGACTTATACGTGATGATACAAATTTTGCCGGGGAACCGCATACTAATTGATATATTTTGTCAATTATCATATCGATCCGGCCTGGATAGATATTGAGAATGCACTTCAACATTGAACATTTGGGCATATATTTCTGCTGTTTTGCGAATTTAGGTTAAAGTATTGCCATCTAAACCTCTGAAGGCAATATTAAAACAATATTGAATCGATATTTTGCACCCAAAACCCTTTAACCGCAATTGTTACCACTACCGGTCTATATCTTTAATGTCTAATCGGTCAATGACGTTCCTCTGTGATTGGACAGGTGAATTAATTGTCTATATGGCGAAGTTGTCTGTCTGGGGCCGACTTTCAATGGCCACACCTTTCCCAGGCGTCTCTTTGAGGTTATTTAGAGAGACAAAAAACTGTAATATGGTCAGTGTATATCTCCGTTGCATGTACCAGCAGGTGTTTTCGTGTCGCGCTCCCAATCAGCTGAGGAAAAAACCCACCCGCAACGCTAAAGCGGAGATAACTGCCCTCTAGGACGACTATACCCCCTAGGGCAACCAACTTCTAGGACGACTACCCCCTAGGACAACTACCCTCGGACAACTACCTTCAGACAACTACCCTCGGACAACTACCCCCAGACAACTACCCCTAGGTCAACTATCCCCAGACAACTACCCCCTAGGATAGTTGTCCGGGGTCGACGGTTGTCTTGGAGGATGGTTGTCATAGGGGGTAGTTGTCTGGGGGTAGTTGTCCGGGGTAGTTGTTTGGGGTAGTTGTCAAGGGGGTAGTTGTCTGGGAGGAATTGTCCGAGGGTTAGTTGTCCTAGGGGGTAGATGTCCTAGAGGGTGGTTATCCAGGGGCAGGTGTCCTAGAACCGTCACCCTCACATGGTGCGCAAAAGACCGCACCAGTCGCTGATGCAAATAAATAATCGGTTTTACATGACATGTGTATGGTGTATGACACATGCTCCTGCGACAGTTGCTTCGCGGTCATTTCCTTAACTAACCGAATTCCTAACTTCCATCCTGGACCAAACACCACAAATAACCCTCATCCTAACTCTTAACCTAACCTATACCACATAACATATTTTTGGCGAAATAGAGCCAGGAGCAAGCCAATCGTCACATGAGTAAATGTCACCAAATTATAATGTGCATCGATCATGACATGTATCATGACTTTGTATGAGATTACATAGGAAAAGAAGCCCGTTTTTTCCTCTCATTTTCGTTGGCCACCTTTACTTGTACTTACTTATAAACTAACTCAGTCTTGTTCCACTTTGGTCCAAACCGCGTATGCAGAACAGCATCAGGGTCTCCTCCAGACATTTGTTTGATAGGATCCTTGAGACCACACCTTGGAGTCCTGACAGTGTCTAAAGTCTTCTTGTCCACCTGACCCATGGTACCTGACGGTGTGATGTCCATGAAAGACTGTAGGTCAGACACCGCATTCGAGATGGCAGTAGGACCCGGCGACTTCCCCAGGGGAACGGTGAGGTAGCCGAACTCGAACAGGTAATTCTGTATGGGATTCAAGACAATTGAATATTGAAACACTTAAACAAATATAAGCTTACTTTCAAGATGGACTTGTCACCCTCCATAACACGCAGCAACCCAAAATAGTGTAAAGTCGCTATTCTAATAACAAACAGACAAACAAACGAAACTAATAACACCATAACTAATTATCAGAGTGCTGGGGCTACTTGGAGCTACGGCCGTTGCTATAAGCACAATACTAAAGCATGAATGATTACAATTACAACGATTGGAAAATTTTTGTGGTGGTGGAGGGGGGGCTGGGCACTTTATCATCTTGTCGTTGTGGCTCAAGCCTGCAAGACGTTCCTTCCACTGGAAACGCACTTGATGAAGAATCAGAAAAAAGAAAGCTTCATTAAATTAACCAAAATTGTCTGCGTCGTAACATTAATAATAAAGAGTAAAATGCAGCGTATATATGTTATCATCGTTAAGGCAGCAACGTAAGCATCATATGACGCTTATACCATTTAGCGCTCTGTAGATTGGTATAACGCTTATACCATTTAGTGCTCTCTAGATTGGTATAACGCTTATACCATTTAGTGCCCTGTAGATTGGTATAACGCTTATACCATTTAGTGTAGATTGGTATAACGCTTATACCATTTAGTGCCCTTTAGATTGGTATAACGCTTATACCATTTAGTGCCCTGTTGTTTGGTATAACACTTATACCATTTAGTGCCCTTTAGATTGGTATAACGCTTATACCATTTAGTGCCCTGTAGGTTGGTATAACGCTTATACCATTTAGTGCCCTGTTGTTTGGTATAACGCTTATACCATTTAGTGCCCTTTAGATTGGTATAACGCTTATACCATTTAGTGCCCTGTAGGTTGGTATAACGCTTATACCATTTAGTGCCCTGTTGTTTGGTATAACGCTTATACCATTTAGTGCCCTTTAGATTGGTATAACGCTTATACCATTTAGTGCCCTGTAGGTTGGTATAACGCTTATACCATTTAGTGCCCTGTTGTTTGGTATAACACTTATACCATTTAGTGCTTAGTTGATAGATGTAACATTTATCTCAACCAATTAATGTTGCTATAGTAATAAGAGTCGTAAGTCTTGTAATTATCTTTTTTTGTTTGGATTTCTGAAATTATTATGCCCTTTGCTTTACTATGCTTATTTTTCAATACTGAATGTCTTGCTTTACAAATAAAAATAAAATTACCAAAACAAAATGATTGAAGGCCTGTTTTATTGTAACACATTAACAATTCATGTGTAATTTATGAATTTGATAATTTTGCAATTCATGAAATATTTTAATATTAGGCAGAACCCTCACTTAAAGGGTAATGATAAATTTGTAATTAATTCTAGCTACTGGTTTCTTTCACATAGCCTTGAAGAAAAGTAAAAGAGAAATCCAGAACCTGAAAACCAAACAATTTCGGTGTAAATCTGGATTTCTGCTGTCCAGATTGAAATAATTTGTTGATATTTGGGGCCCATCCAATCGAATGAAAATAAAAAGGGAAAGAAAGATGTATAAACAAAGGGATAAGTAATGAAAGGCAACGTGAAAAGAAGATCTCTAGTTCTAACCCCTCACCCGATGATCTTGATTTCCCGTCTTTCATCCATAATTTCGATGCCCCCACCCCAGTCCATTACACCATTAGGCCCTCCTTATAGCGGGACACCCCACTGCGCAGGAAAAAAAGAATGAGGAAGGGTTGTCCATACATGGTAGAAAATATAGAAGTGGTGTAATATATTTACATCATCATTAAATCTCCATGATCACCATGAAATCCTTTAAACTTCTCATTTAATTGTTCACGAACGAACTAATACGATGAAAATCTCTGCAGTAAAGCCTCAGAGATTCTGTATTTGAAATATGAGTTTCCAGAAGAGTGAGCTGTGAAAGTCAACACCATTGTCGAAATATGTGGGCGTCCTAAGATATACCGGTATATAAACAATAACATTATCCATAACGAGCGGGAGAAAAAGTACAGCGACCTTCATATTCACCAGCGCACTGTCAATCAGTGGGTTGGCTGTGGGAGTACAACCGACCTCGGTAACAATTAACAGTCTGATGAGTAAGAGCCCGATCATATTGTGAAAGGATGGCATGAGATAAATAGTAAGCCAATTAGGTTGTAGATATCTATCTATTGTAATGCTATTACGATGATAAGCGCCGGAATAGGCCTACTATACTACCATTCAACAAGTTTTCGTCATTGATTATTTGGGATTCCGGTATAGAGTCATCCAAAATAGTGAAAGATCCATCTTTTCCGATGAGCTGGTGCATTATTTTGGCTGGCCTATTCAGGGACTTTCCATCATCTTCCAACTGCGTCATCCACGTTTGAAGAAGAAAATGAGATAGAAAACATGACGCAACATATAAAAACCCCATCAATGAAACACAAATTATTACTAAGTTTTATTATGCTGTATAAATTCGAGATATCTACGACCACACACTATCATCCTAAGATCAATACAGTAAGAGGTTTGTAAAGGATACTTCATGAGAGTTTGAGTATATAATTTGTTTATATTTCCCCCAGTCGTTCCGCAAGACGTTTACAAATTATACTAAATCATGGATACAAAAACAGTATGAACAAACCTACTTCTCTCTCTCTCTCTCCCTCATCTGCATATCCATAGTCACTGACTCGTATTATGAAGTCAGGTTAACCTAAACTAAAGTGAGTTCAGTCAAAGCTGACTTAGACCACACATTAAGTCTATAAGGGTACGAGCTAGTGTGTCTTAAGTGAAATAAAATTAATTCATTACTCGTTCCCTTCTCCTCTTTCCTTTCTAAGACCTGTGTCATTTTTTGTTTTGGTTGTTGATATTTTTGTTTTGAAATGAAATAAATACGAATCTAGGGACTTCTACACAATTAGGTTAACACAAATTATTAAGTTAGCCATTTCACTTTGTTTAGATGGTCTGTAGTGCATGTACACATGAGATTGATTGAACAAAAATTGTGTTAAAATTGACCAAATGGATCAATTTGATTGGGTCTTACTTGTTTGAGAGTCTACTTAAAACGTACAGTTTAAGAGGCACGCACGATTCACACGTGAAGGGGGCTTGCCAACATGGCGGTTTCAGCGGTTACTATGCTCCACATGTTACACAAATTCACAGGCAATCATCCCAATTACGTTTTACAAATTCAGCAATTTCTTTGTGGTAGAGAAATTCATCTGGTTAAGTTAACATGTTTCTCAACTTATAAAATGAAGGGGAAAAAGTATATTTCCCTGTGGCTTTAAAGGTACTATGTCCCATTTGCAGGTCAACAAAAATGAAAAGGTTAAATTCCAATGGCATTTGAAAGACAATACTTATTTAGAACTTCCCTAAAAACAAAAGGGTTTGAAAATGGCTTTTTATGGGAAAATAACGACCATTAGTTGTCGAATCGACATAAGTGATTGCTATCACCTAAGTAATTGTCTGATTTTCTGACCCTTGTACCGAATGGTCGTCATTTTTGTGCTGCACAACAATTCAATAAGTTTAATTTTGGCCATTACAAGTAGTGGGTTATTGATGTTGACAAATGATTGTGTACCTGTTACAGCTCAGTTTATGTAGGTCTATGTTATTACCAAAGGAAAAAGAAAATGTCAGTCAGGCACTCAATAGTGTCTAATAGGGATCATTTGAATACTAGGACATTGCTAACGTTTAAATTTCACAGAAAGGACATAGGGCCTACATGACATTCATAATTCCTGCAAAATTCTACAGAATTTGATGTTGGTTGCATAAGGGACATAGTATCTTTAAAGGGGAAGTCCACCCTGATATTACGTTTGTTTCAATCGAAGCTGAACATTCGAGGAATAGGTCAGTGACGGTTTGAGCAAAATTTTGAAGTTGCGATCAATCAAACACAAATTGGGAAACTCTATGACGTACCTTGCGAGGGTCCCTGCCATTTCGTCTGTACTAAAAAAAAAACATTTAAAAACAAAATCAGAAATTTCTAATTTTCCGACAGAAACTGTTCGGTCACGCATCGGCCCTACATATAATTATTGCAATATGTTTGAATATAAATAAATCTTTTCCGTCATCAATAACTAAGAAAATGAAAGTTTATGAATTTTCTGTACAGAGCAATTTGGAATGGACCTCGCAAGATACGTCACAGCGTTGTCAATTTGTGGATGATAGAATAAAATTACAACAACAACAACAACAAAAATCTTCTTTTTTTTCCCCCGACGTCCGCACCCCGTTGACTTAAGCTCACGCACGCCAGCTATTCTCCACTCCTGACGACGGATAGTCAACATGTTCCAAACGTCGAGCCACTCATCTTTCTCCAAGCGCTATAGTTCTCCTTAGAACAAGCTAAGAAAGATAACAAACAGTCCTTCTCAGGACTACACCCCCCCCCCCTCAAGAAAGATTACCGAGTCAGAGTCCTTTTCAGGACTCCTCAACCCTCTCTCTCTCACACGGTGCACCCGCAAGCCTACTGTATACAAATCAATTTCTTATTCTTTATCGGATTTTGATCAAACTGTCACCGTTACATTTCTCTCGTTGTTCTGCTTCTTCTAAAACTAACCAATTATTAGGGGGCAAGATTATTTAGAGGAAAGTGGCAAAGTTGGTGTAAAGGTCACCGATTTACAATGTCAGCAAGGTGTTATGCTAGCTTTTTGACAGTACATAATTATGTTCCACCCACGAAAGTATATTATTTTCATGATTGCTATCGAAAAATTCTAGCTCTAATAACGTTTTCTGCAAATAGCACACTAATATTTGTCTTTCAGAAATAAAACCAAATCAATGACTAGTGTTATCGATTTAATAAAAACAAACAGAAGAGTGTCGATTAGATTGAAAGTAAGATGTAATTATGTTTGATCTGTTTCAAAACAGTCGAATTCTACTATTATTTCTGCAAAACTTCTTCTCAAATGATGCTCTTGCAGTGAACAAAACAAAGAAA